AACCGCGGCAAATTTGTGTGTCAGCCGGCGTCAAGCAGACAATTTTTCGCAGTTGTTTTTCTATTTTGGAATTGGGAGATATAACGAAACACTTAGTGACTGGCTCTGCGGTAAACATTGAGTTTTGTTTCCCTTTGGGCCAGTCATTAAGTGCTTATTGTCATCCCCCGTACAAGATCTGGAGTAATTATTATTGAATACACGAGGATTCCTGCACAATCTTTGTAAGTCTGTTCAAATCTTTTTTCGGTCCTGTTACCTATCCAGTATTTGGCCTTATCTCCACACCAAACATCATTAAAGCAGAATTGTAGAGTAATTTTTTTTTAATGAGGATACAATAAACGGTGGGATAAAATAACAAATAATGACGTGTTAATTTGGTTATACAGCTCCAGATGAACCTCGATCAACCTTCTTTGACTCCGCTAGTTCCTCGTTTAACTCTTCTTTCTGAAAATGTTACACCCCTCTACATGACGCTCTTTACATTCGTGTTTTTATAGTCATGGAATTTGTCTCTTTTCGAGCTCGGCTTTTGCAAATTGTTAGCCTTCGAGCAGGCCCACGTTGAAGCACAAGCACGTGCGGCGTAGCCGCGAGCGCGAAATCGAGCGGCGAAGCGGCGAAGCAGGCGAAGAGGCGAAGACTCCTTCCCGCCCGATCGCTGTGCTCTTCGCCGCTTGCACGCATGACCCAAAGGTGAGCCTGCTTACTAACTAGCAGAAGTCATAATTGCGAAAGTCATAAAATAGAGATAATCAACTCCAACAGACACATACTGCGACAGGTAATCTACTCGACAAATTTAACTTACTTAATTTTAATTCATGTGGTAGTTGTCGCATTATGAGCCTCCCAAAACGTCAGGCTGTGACGTGCAACAATAATAAAAGATAAGTCTGATATTTATTGTAAAGAATTGAAACGCAAGAATCTTGTAGGAATAAAATTTGCTCTGTCAGCATATAAAGTAGTTGTCTGAACTCAGTAGTTTGCTGCGCGTTCTCAGCGCCTCTCAGCAACATTATGAGCCTCCAATCATATTCATGAGTCTCCCAGCAAAATTATGAGCCTCCCAACATAATAATGAAGCTCACGGCATGATTGCGAACCCCTTGTACTTAACTATAATTGAACCACTCAGAATGGCAGAGAATAATTTCATTTATTTTACATGTTTTAATGGTGGAAACTGCACAAAAAAATTGCAGTCACAAGTTCTTCGATTGAATAAGGCAAACCTGTCTTTGAGTTACAGATATAGCAATTATTAATTAAAAAACTGTAAGTTTTTTAACGCTTAAGAGTCTATTGACATTTTCAGGCACGTTTTAAACTGCATAACATTAGCAAAAGACCATCATGGCTTCTTGACATAAACTTAGAGCATTACCACTAATATTCCATTGTATTTACATAAAGTGTTATTATTACTCATCAAAACTAATTGAATCATCCTGCCTCAACTACCTTCACCTCATGAAGACAAACATATTAGTTTTACCGGCAATGTTACTGAAACTCATGGCTAGGTTCAAGTTTTATGGAATCTTGAAATTTTTC